GTGAATTCATAACCCTTCAGTTCAAAGTCCATTCCTTTATCCATGTTAATACAAGTTTCAGATATGGTAATGACACTGAATTGATGTAAAAACTGGTTTAGATAATCCTTGTTATTAATAAAATTTGTATGTAGACTTCTACAGTTAAACTAGATAATTTATCATCTCACCCCAGCCCCCTGGTTGTACTGTTGATTTGTATCGTAGCAGCAGTTGTTATTGATAGAAGAGAAGAAGTTGCTTGGGTCTATTTCATATTCCAAGTTCTGTGTTAATTAAATGTTTTGACTTCAAGTCGATCATGTTCTGCACGTATGTATCTGACTGATGCAGTTGTTTTTTTGGTTTTTTTCCCCAGATGTAGCCGAGTTGTTCCTTTCACTGTATGTCATAAGTGAGTGTGTGGTTGTTTGTTACCTTGTATATAGTCTAGCTTCTCCGGTGCTGTCAAATGCAGGGTATTTTTTTGGCCAACAGTAAAGAAAAACTCCAACAAAAACAAACTCTGGAGCTAGAGACTGAACTTCAAAACACACAGAGAGATGTGAATGAAATGAAATGTTGGCGTAATCCATGAACACTGCATTATTTATAAGAAAGTTGGTTCTCCAAGGAAGAGAGACCTTTTAACTTTACAGTTTATGCAAGAATGCACTAAGCAAACACATGAGGTTAGAGCAGAGTGGAAAGGATTCCAATATAACTCCTTTCAGATGCCCTTTAATAATGTATTTACTGTGTGTGATGCTCTTAAAGTGTCCTCTGATACTGCATGTGGTATCAGGGTTTGTTTACTTTTTTCTAGAAGGGAACCGAAAAAGGGCATCTTCACTGACATGCTATGGCACTTTCTGAGTCATGTTAGCAATATAAAAATCTTAGCTGACAGTTTTAGCGCTTCATATTTTATTGCATACATTATTATTGGAAAATGATTTAATTCTAGAGCAGTGATCCCCTACTGGAGCTTGGATCTGACCTTCCCTTTGCAGTGATCATTATCTTGCCTACAGGAAAACTCCATCTGTAAAGTTATAACTTTGACAAAAGCAATTAAACTTGTTACCTACATAATTATTCTTATATAGACAAGGTTTCATTATGTTGCTTTTATCAGAATATCTGTTGGTCTACAGTACCACACCATGGATTTGTTAACTCTGGCCTGATTCAGGTATTACTGTTTTTGAAGAGGGCTGGTGGACAATGTATCCTCTGTTTGATTTGTTTAAGTTTATTCATGTGTTTGAGTTTCCCAATTGTTATTCCCTGTTGTATTTTTCTATTCATTTTTCTGATGTCTTGTCTTTAGTTTTACTTCCCCTCTTGTCTCACTGTTGTTGATTGTCTTTCTTTTTCTTTCCCCCAGCTGTTTGCACTCCCCTGATTACCTTCACGTGTATAAATAGTCCTGCCTTTCCACTCAGTCTTTGTTGCAGTATCTGTTTACCTTTCTTGCATGTTTGCTGCCTGTTTTGTAGAAGTTTGGTAAAACTTGATTCTTAATTCTTCATCCATAGCACACTGAAGTGGATTCACTTTCAGTGTAAATCTTTTTAAAAACCATTTGCTTGTGATTTCTTGTAGATCAAACTATTTTCTATACTTTGCTGATGTTGGGATAAATGTTTTAATCTCTCCTGTTTGACTTTTATTCCTCTTCATAACAATATATAGTTTATAAGATGGTGGTGATCATAAGGATGATGAAGGGATGACAAGGAAGACCAATATGCTAAAATCCTGTTTGCCCTGTGCTGCATGATGTTAAAGGGAAAACATGTTGGAGAGTCACAGAGTGATAGGTCATCCGGTTTAAGGTTACAGCACAGTTATATTTAACTTGACCGATAAGTCACTCGCGCTCTCACCTACCTTTAGTTCTGGCAGGCTTTGAGGTGACATTGTCACTGTGTTTAGAAAAAACACAGTTAAGACTGTGTGTGTCTAGGCAGATTTTGAGCAGTTATATCCCATATTCACACTAATAGCTTCTTTTTTTGGTTTTAGAAAAATCAAACTTTGACAAAATCAAGTCTATTTTACTGTCTAAAATATATGAACAGCTTATCTGCAATGAAACATCCAGACCTGCCCTTCTGCAACCTGATCCAGTTGATATCTTCAGTCACCTTGAGAAATGATTACTGGCAGCAGCGCTTTTGCCTACCTTTTCATTCCAGACAGTGACAAAGTGAAACGGGGACAGAAAAGGCAAACTGATGGAGGGTATGTCAGGATACCTCGAAAAATAATGTTCAGTTACTTTTTACCTCAGATTACTTGAAAAGTGAAACAGACGTGTGAAAGGGACAACGCAGATGGTTAATGTGAAGAAAGGAAAAAGCCACAAGTTCTAATAAAATAGAAAGGAACAAACGAGAGATGGGACTATTCCCTGGACAGTGATTAAAGAGAAGAGAAGTAAAGACAGGAGGAAGAAAGAGGATAACAAGAACTGAGTTAAAGTTTTTTCAAACCAAAATACTTACAGATGTACTAGTGCTTTCAGGCCCCGGAAAGCATACTGGGATATTTCAGCAATTTTGTTGTTTTCAATAAATCTGTGAATGAGAAGCAGAATGAATGAGAGTAAGTCATGAAATCTTACACACAATGAATACTGACATCTATTGTGATCCTGTAAGAAGATGAGATGTTTACTGCAATCAGGCTATTGAGTTCTACATGATGGCTAAGGCTTGTAAAACACTGGGAAAACATGTCAAAGTAAATTATACTGTAAATACATTCAAAAAGCAAACAAGTGTTTTCAGCCATTTAAGACAATTTGGCTTAAACTGTGGTTGTAGTTGGATGGATCACCCAAACAGGGAACATTAGTGTAAACATGCTTATGGGGAAAGCCTCATCGTTCAGATAGATTTATATGCCATCATGTAACCGAGCATGCACTACAGTAAGGTTTTGAGTGCAATATTTCCGCACAGGTTCACATAGTGCTGTTGTTAATCAGCATGTGCCTCATATTTGTTTAATACAAAAAATATGCAATTATGATAGTGTTTCATACAACAGCACGCAAATGTTTTCTGCACATGAATTAAAAACAGTTGCTTACAGGTATTCAAGATGTGGTAAACCTTGAAATGCATCCTCATCAATCAGGTCAAATGAGTTTGCTGTGAACAATCTGTGAAGGAAAAACAAACCAAAAAAGACTTGATAGATAGATAGATAGATAGCTCTCATAACAATAACATCAAAATTTGATATCACTTCTGCATTCATACTTCAATAGATTTTTGACAACACCGCTGGTTGAAATGCAACTCCAAACCATGACAGTCTTTTACAGACAGTTTCAAACACTCACTGTTGCACCTCTCTCCTGACCTCCTCCATACATGAATAGAGATGAATGAAACATTTCCAATTTAGATTCATCACTCCGTAACACGGATCGCTGCGGATTTTCAGTCCATTTCTTGTGTAATTTGGCATACCTGAATCTTTTTGTTTCCCTATGAAATGCTCTTGACAGCCACCCTTCCACTGATGACATTTCTGATGAGGCTTCAGTGAACAGTAGACGGATCAACTGAAGGGCCAGATGCATTTTTCAGGTTCTGTCAGGTCTTGGCACACTGTGCAGTGTGTCCTTTACGAAGTGTGTCCACAGGAAACAAATTATGCACCTTTGTGGCAGGCTAGTATAACAGTGCCTAAAAATGACATTTAAAAGTAGCTCAACAACAAAAGAAACATTCCTCTGAAAATGGTCAGGTAGAACGACTGGAATGAAAATGAGCGAAAAAGCAGCCAATCTCCAACGTAAACTTTTGAAAGGTCTTCGGAAAACCTGGAAAACTGTTGACGAAGACCACTTTAAAAATTATAAAGATATTATATAGATAAAGTCTGGTTCTTTGGAAGCAAAATATAAAGGATGGAAGC